TTTCGTGATGGAGAGGTGAGTCAGTTTGTTTGTCACAGGCTCCCACACATGAAGACTGTTGTCCTGCAAAGCAAAGAGTAATGCTGGAGATCTCAGCCCTCTGGGAATCTGTAGATCTTTAAAGCATTGAAATTAAACTGCTCGAAGATCCTGCTTGCAAAACCTTCAATTTGAAAGACTTGTTTTGCTGGAATTCCTCAAGGTGAAGAGGAATGGTACACCTGCCTTGTGGTACACCTGGTTCATGCAAATACTGGCATAATATAATACATGATCATGGTCAGATGCCATCCCTTTGGAAGATCTCGTGGTTTACGGTAAAGCTGCTTAGCTTTTCTAAGGAGCTTCTATCGAGAAGCCTGCGTGGGAGGAATATTTAACGCAGCAGACAGGCTTGTGGGAAGTGGCATTTGAAGGCGCAGAGCTAGGTTTTTAAGCAGCAGAAATGAGTAGGGTCTGAGTGCTGGTGCATGCAGCTCAAATGGGCGCAGGCCACTGGCAAGAAAAGCGGCAGAAGCTCCGAACATGCCCGTGCCCCGGCGGGAGGAAAGCGCTTGTTGTGCAAAGCAGGCAGGCAAGGACACGGACAGGGGTGCRGGCCAGTATGAAATCACATGAAAGAATTTTAAAGAGCCTGGGGAAAGTGAAATATTTCCCTGAAGAATAATGTGCTAACTAAGCAAGAAGCTGAAAGTCAATTAAGGAGAAGCCATTTGCCACTTTGTCTCTGGCCATARATATCATGGTGTGTGGCAGAGCCCAGGAACACCTAAGTAACTGTGGAGAAGGCTGCATTTGTGAGAAATGTTGCCAAATTGCATATTTACAGTGGCAACAGTAAGCTAAGGGCTGAGTGTGTAGGTAATAGAGCTAAAAACTGTACAAGAAACCACACAGTGCTGGGTATGAATCTCTCAGTATCTTCATTAAAAATCTAACATAGATCATTGTCCTCCCTGCTTTTATCACTATTTAATGTTGAAAAGTGCCTTCATGGAGACTTGCTTCAAATAAGAGTAATTACATGAGTTTTGAATCTGGGTTTTGTACTTACAGAAGGCGTTTCATGTTCTTTTGATAAAATAGGAGCAATGAGCTCAGGACTTGAGCTTCTAAGACCCCTTAGGAAAAATTGCTTTCAGCTTAAGAATGGCCATAGCTTTGCAGAAGGTAGGTAAGGGATCTGTGTCAATATGAAGCTCCAAATGCAGGGAATAGCTAGTTTATTAGTTACTGCTCATCCTGCCTTTGGCAGTTGGTGGGGGATAGATATAGTTCTAGTTGTTTATACTGTCGTTTATACATTTCTTTTCACCTAGTATATCCCAAATTAAAAGTCATTACTCATAGCAAGTAGAAAAAGTGAAAACACTTTCTTGCAGAAGCCTTGGAATCACTGATGGTGTCCCAAGATTGCATGAAGGGAGTTGCATAAAGATCTTGCTGCTCCTGAAAGAAGAAAGCAAATCAGCTGTTATTTACTGCACTAGAAAGAAAGGCATCCCAACTGGTTTGGGCCAGACAACGATGACCTCCCAGGAGAGCTGTATTTAGCAGGAATAAGTTACTTCTGAAAAGAGCTTCCAGAGAAAAGAGTCTTTGGAGAGAAGCGGAACTCGCCAATTATGGAAATGTCAGCACTGCTTATTCCTGGTGCCGTAACCAAACAACACCAGAGCTGGCTGCCCAGCTTTTTCACATTTGCAAAACACGGCTCCACGATGAAGGGAAGCCTGCCAGCAGTCAAACTGGAATGCTCCAAAGGAAAGCACATGTATTTTAGTTCTTATGAAGTGGAAGGAGGAACTACTCAAAATTGTGTAAAGCTGTTTGTTTTGCATCTGTTATATGGCAGCACGGTGACTTATGAGTTTGGAGCACGGACCTCTGCTTTTAGAGAGCCAAGGACTTCATCACCACAGGCTGAGAATACCAAGTTCATTAATTAATATCTGGTATTCACTTCAAAGACATTCTGACTGCAGCTATAGGTTATTGTTGTTGTAGGCAGCACATTATTTTATTTTTCTATTATCAGATGCTCCTCATCCTCTGTCTGAGGGAGAGGTAATTGCACACTTAGCATGGATGGCGTTGCTGTGTGTTTTTTAATGCAAGTCTAGATGTAATGGAAAAARCACAAAGTCACTGCAACTGAGGGCAGTCCTGCTTCCCAACCACTGCTCCACAAAAAAGCTTTTAACAGGACAAAACTTTCTCTGCCTTCATCTGTTATTTATCTGTGTGTTTGCCCAGTGTTTAGCTTTTGCCGAGGTACGAATTTGCGTACTTTCTATTTCCATGGCTTCTCCTTCCRTCATTATCCATGCTGGCAAATGGCACCCTTACTGGTACTGGATTTTGCCATGGTCGTATCTCGCACAAGTAACTGGTGAGAAACTACAGCACCTCCTGCACAACTGGAAAATGGTGTTGCTAGCAACAGGTGCCCCATTCAGTGTTCAGATCCAGCCTCTGCTCCGGAAGGCCATGTGCTTTTCAGAGAATTCTGTCCCCGGCCTCTGCCTGGATCCTGTGGAATGCTGCTTTTACATGCCTGACACTATGTGGGAGAGTTGCTCTAGAAAGTTTTCAACAATAAAATATTAAAATAATCCAAGTTAGATTATAAATTCAAGGGCAGCATGTCTGATACATGTAATATACTGTGTACAGTGGAAGCTCAGTAAATAGTTCTGAGAGGGGAATCAAAATTGCTGCTGCTTTGATTGTTACAAGTAGGATCTGCAGGTTTATAAACGGTGCTATTTGTGCCCCGAATGGAGATTTACTTACACAAAACTGCAATACACTCCTCTGTTATAAAACTTTTGCTAAAACCTCATTAAAAGTCCAGTCAAGAGCATCCATTATAAATCTCCAGAGAAATGACTGTTTCTCAAGCCCTGCTGTGCGCAGTGAGCTGCCCCGGGGCACCCTGAGTCGAGCCAGGTAGAAAGCAGCCCTCTCTGACAGGCCCCTAGGGAGCTRAAGGGCAAAACCCCTCCACGGGCAATACAGAAATACCAGGAACCACCTTTGTGGCCCAAGGGGGCCCACAAATACAAGCTCGGTTGGTAGCCCCGGCGGGGTTTTGCTGTGTGACCTGTAGCTGGAGACACTGTGTTCCTGGTGTGAATTTTCTCGCTTGTGTCCAAGTGCRCTGAGGCGGTTTGAGCCATGGAGCGGGGATCATGCCTGGAAGCAGCAGCATGGAGCCATGAGGCCTTGCGCTGGCTGCGGCCTGGCCCCACAGCGCGGCGCCCCATGGGCCGCCATGCTCCTCCCCAGCCAGGCCCCTGGGCCAACATGGCCTGGCACTGAATAAATCCCATCCCTGCAGCAACACGTGTAGGCCTGGGAGTGTGTTTCCRTGTGGATGGTAGCAAAGCGGGGCGCTTGGGGCACGCGGAGCGTCTGAGAGCGGCGCGGATCCCCACACGGGATGGCGACCGCCTCCCACACGGAGCTGGCGGGGGGGACTTCGAAATGGCAGCGGCCATTTTGAACCATGTTCCTTTTTGAAGGAAACTGCTTCCTTCCTTCCTTCCTTCCTTCCTTCCTTCCTTCCTTCCTTCCTTCCTTCCTTCCTTCCATTTCGAACCAGCCTTCCCCAGTCCTCCCCGACAGACAGATGCCGGGATTGAAGATTCAGATTATGCTGCTTAAAAATGGCTGTTTTCCATGAGGGAGGAAGGGGGGATAGTTGATTTAGTGAGGCTGACACTGTCAGTTGGCTGCTCTCTACAGTACTTTCCAGTGTAAAAATAAACTGCAGATGTTGGACACAGATAGAGTAGGATACTTTTGTTTAGGGCTTGCAGATGTCATATGTTCTATGGGAGTTAAATCCCTGTCTAGGGGAAGGAGGGAAGAGGGCCTTGGCACCGAAGAGAGAAGCATGAGCTGTATGTGCCTGATAAATCCTGGTCTGTGGGTGCTCTGTCCCTTCTGCTACTTAAAAAGAGCTTGTTCTCGAGCCCACATGTCCATTAGTAAATAACATTAGTAACAAACTGTTTCTGTGATGGAAGTGCTGAGAACCGTCATCTGGTGCCGGTTGGTGAAGGATCTGAACACCTGGCAGGTGATTTTGTTCTTCTCCTGGGAATGTCCCCACGAAAGAGCTCCTTCTGTAGCACCTCAGTGCTGTGGCACCTCGGGAGCAGAGCTCGTCCTCTTGCTGCACGGCGGTTTGTGCACGCAAAATCACGGAGTTCTTGCTCACAGACTGGGCTTGTGAAAGAGGATTTTTGATGGCAGATTGGTCCGAGTCTTTTACCCCTTTGAAACATTCAAATCCTCTTTGAAAGCTGCACTGGAGAGACTTATACTGGGCCTTGTTCTGTTTTGTCTTTAAAGCAGCAGCGATAATGCTGTTTGTTTTGAAGTGGGCAAGTCTTGAGGAATGAGTGAGGTTGGCTGGGGCGTCCGAGCGCCCTGTTTGCAGTTGTGTGTTACTGGGCAGCACCTGTGCGGCAGACCAGCTTGTTCAGTGTCACAGAGTGGAAGCTGACTGCGTTTGCGGCTGTCCATGACTGACGGAATTGTATTTTCCCATGCATCGTTTCCTTGTCTCAACTGCTAAATAATCATTTTGGAAACCAGCTCTCTTTTTTTTTTTTTTTTTTTTTTTATCTTGTCAAGATACACAAATGATGAGGAGAAATAAAGCAAGGCTTATTTCAACTTTTTATTAGTAACACAGGGTTTTTCTGCAGTTTTAGGAGTCAGTTCCAGGATGATCTTCCCTTCTCACTGCTTCCAGTCTGATTTGGTTGCAGTGTTCAGTAGGGATTTGTCGTGATGGCTGATGACAGCATGGCAAGTAACATGCAGTTTGTTCTGTATTCCGTGCAAGCTGCACGCGGGGACATGTGGCTTTGGGCYCTCTGGACTTAGCACAGATTTGAATCCCTAACAGTTAAAAAATTAGCCCAATTTATTAGTGGGTGGTCAGTGAGTAAATTGTGATTGTCGCCTGTGGTTTATTTGTGTAGGGAAACAGCAGCAGTTGGAAGCCGAGTACCAGGAGGAGTATGTGGATGCTGACCATGATTTTCACATGAAAACGGGGCGCTCTGTGCAGCCACCTACAGAAAGACCTGGCGAGAGGCAGATGGCTGAAATGAAGAAACTCTACGGCGACAGCGCTGCTAAAATCCACGCGATGGAGACTGCCATGCAGCTTGACTTTGACAGGAACTGTGACAAATATCAGCCCAAATACTGGCCCATTATTCCCCTCAAGCTGTGAGTGCTTCGGCTGTGCTCTGACCTGGCACAGAGCTGAAGCGATGTGTCCCACAGCCAGTGYATGCCACTGAAAGAACAAATTGCAAGTTTTGCTTTTGGGTGGTGGGGTGGTTGGGTGTTTGATTTTTTTTTCCTGAGGGAGGGAYAGCAAAGGGAAGGGAGGGGGGATTGTTCTTTGCCTTGAATTCTTTTCATACCAGCAGTTGGTGATGGACACAGTCTGTTGTACGTGCCTGTACTTGTCAGGGTGCAAAAGGAAGGACAGTGACATTTCACCCATCTAAAGCCATAGTTTCATTCGATGCCAGCTTGCCTAGACTGTGCTTGCCAGAAATGTGGCACTATTCATCTGCACCCAGTAAGATTTATGCTATGAAAACCTAAAGTGATGACAAAGGGAAAAAGAAAAAGACTATATGAATTGTCTGCTCTTCCAATTTAGGAAAGTGAGTAGTCCTGATTTTTATTATTATTTGATATTGTGGGTTTTGGATTCCATTTGACACAGCACAGCTTGAAATGTTATGTTTACTAATCTTTGATATTTGGGAAACAGGAGACCATTGGCCTAGGTACAACCTATCAAATTGCTCTAGCCCAGGCATTTGAATTCTCTTTCAGAGGTTTGTAGTAAGTCAGGAAATTTTTCTTCCAGACTGATAGTTAGCTGGCAGAAATTCAACCCTGAAGCAAAATTATATAGAAAAATACTTTAGTGAAAGGGAACAAACAAACAAATGAAAAAAACCCACAAATGCCTGACATGGTACTCACTGTTAGAGGTCTCTTTAGTAGAAGGTGCTTGAGAAGAAAAAGCGCTACCAGGGCCACAGCCAATTTTTGACATTGTAACAAGAAGCATCTAAATGGTCCAGTGCTTTGAGGAAAAAGAAGAACCAGGTCTGGGAGCCCAGGGCAGCCCCTTGCGCGGCACGTGCAGGCAGGAAGCTGCGTAGCAGTGAGAGCTGCCCTCGTGTCAGGTGTAGCCTCGCGGTGACAGCCCTTGTGCTGTACACGCACAGCCTGAATCACAGGCGGCTGCCGCGTGGGCCCTGCTCGTGCGCAGGCTGCTCCRCGCTGCTCCTGCCGCCCTCATGGCCTTTGGTGCTTCCCGGCCGGGCAGCCAGGGTGCGGAGCAAGGCATGGCTGGTCTGCGCAAGGGAAGCACAGTCTGCCCCTTGGAATTGGTSACTCCTTGGGAAACGGTACCCTCATCACTCCTGCCAAAGCCTTTCTGCCAAGTCCTGCTGCTGCGTGTCGTTGTGTGCCAAAGATGTTCGTGTCACGCGACAGGTCTGCAGCAAGGCAGGGGAAAATGCACCGCTTTCATTCTCAGAAGCATTCTTGTATCCTTTTGGGAACGGAAAGCYGCAGCCAAAATTCTTACTGGAATTCGTGCCCATCGGGTCTCCTGTAGGAAGTGTGGTTGGTAACACACAGCTGTAGCAGCTGTGCCCCCGGCAGCAGCCAGTTGCACAACAGCAGGGCTGAAGTGAAGTTGGCATCTGGTGTGTTGGTCAGTGCTACCGGGTTTTTACAAGCRCCGTTTTTTAGTTCTGTTCCCGCTTCTTCATTTTAGTTAAACTGAACACTGAACTTAAAAGCCTCCAAGGCTTGTTCCGGGTGGGACTGATCTGAAAAACTCATTTGTGGGAAGAGAGAGAAAAGGGGTGTGGGAGGCAGTGCTGCGTTTGTCTTCACATTGTTTTTGGAGGGGATTGTCAGAAATTTAGTGTTTTGTTTGAGTTTTTTGACCAAATAAATTCTCTTTATAACATCCTGTGGTTGATTTCTTTTTTACCAAACTTCCGTACTTCCCTTGCATTAAGTTGTCAGATGCTCAAGCTTTCTCTTTGCTGCTGTGTTCAAGGAAGGTTGCACTGTGAGCAAATGCAGTTTCAACACCRTGAGAAGCACAGGAGTGTTGACAGGACTGTCCGAGGAATGCTGAACCGTGCCTCCCTGCCACATGTGGTGTGGTACGAAGCGAAGGAAAGCTTCCCCCCCAGCATCCACTGGGGGAAAGCCGTATGTCAAGTTATGTGCCCAAAGCTCCGAGTTTCTCTTTGAAAGGGCTCCTCTGTAGTGGTCACTTCGTTGTTACCTTCTGCCCAAATTCCATTGCTTGCCTTGGATGTTTCTGCAACTTGGTCTGCTGGCAGAAGCAGAAATTCTGGTATCCCAAAGTATTTGCAGAGACCTGGTGCAAGGCAAACTTTGCATTCCTTTCCCGCTTCAGAGAGAATACACCAGAAACGTCCTTGACCTTAGTGTAATCGTTTGTAGGGGATTTCAACCTGCTGCAGTATGAGGTGGAAAGTAGAGAGTCCTGGAGGTCATGTTCTCAAGGGATCACCTGCGTCCTAAARCCTGGAGGAGAAGAATACACTGTTGCAGACTTAAATGTGGTGCAGGTTTATGGACTTCATTCCCCCTGTCCAGAGCTTCATGCTATTGTTTTCAGTTATGTCAACTGCTCGTGCAGCCCTGTCCCATAGGAAGTCTTAGGTTGCTGATGGTGGAATTTCTCACAAGCTCCTCTACAGTACAAGCACAAGTTGTCTTACAAACACCTAGTCTTAATTTCAGAACCTTGACTTCCATATCTGCTACGTGGAAATATGAAGAGCAGCCTCATGTTTGGAAGAAGCGTTTCTGACTGATTCAAAGGTGCTTTTGAAGACTGGGGGGACATGGCAAATAGGTCTTACTGCAAGCTCCTTGGGAAAAAGCCTTTTGGAACAGGCAAGTGCAAGTTTCTCATGCAGATGAAGCACTGACCTCTACATTTCATACTGAAAGCAGAATTGCTTGCACTTACACATTGGTGACATTGGCAAGAATGTTTGTCCTTGTGGAATTATTTCCCTACAAAGCAGCTGACAGTTTGGTCTGTCTGTGTATACAGGCCAACTGAAAGGAAATTAAATAGTTCTGAATACCATAACCTTTAYTTTATCCTTATTGATAGATAGTCTTCCTCTTTGATGGTAGTCTTGTAAACTGACCCAAGTATCAGATACTCAGAAGGAGTTAAATATTATAGAGTAATTTGAATGTCTGTAACAGCCTTTGTGAAGGATAAATACATATGTAATCCATATGTTGTTCATTCTTACATGTCTTTCTGTTTGCAAAGATTTCAGACTTTGTCCTGAAAAGAGGTTTGTTTCAAGTATCATCATCATCATGTTTGTATTACCAGAGTTTGACTCTTGGAATAGAAATAAAGGAGGGCAAGACACTTGATTCAGTTGCTTAAGTTTAGATACATGATTTTTTCCCACTTTGGTCTGAATATTTTTGCTGAAAAAAAGAGAGGCAAGATTTTTACTCAGAATGCAAAATACAGTCTCTCCAAAGGAAACATCTGGACAAGAAAGCACCTTGTTTTCCTTATAGTTTCTTAAAAACATAAATTACTGGAGAAACTATTATCTGATAACTTGTGTGCTCATGCCAGCCATAACAAAAGTTTGTCTTGGTGTTTGTGTCCCTAGTTTATCAAACATCTACCCTGCTAGACCTGCTCTGTTGTCTTACATGATCATACCCCAGGAATCCACAAGAAAATTCCCATGGGCTTCCACCTGCAGCCTGTGAGTTCAACACAGGAGTTTCAACAGCTGCTGAAGAGAAGCTGTGCTTAAAGTGTGAAGTTCAAGACCTTGCTCCCATTTATTTCTTCTTGCCGGGCTGCAGTTGAAGAGCACAGTGGTTTGTATCACGTATCATCCAGGTAGGTGACGGACCACAGCGTTCATTTCTGCTCACATATTCCCTTGAGGTCTGGCTGTTACAGCACAAGAACTGTCTGGACTTGGCCTGTTCCTTGAAGTGGCTGAGTGTGTGTGGATCAAGTAGTAATTTAGGCAGGGCAGGACCCACTCAGAGATACTGCTTGACCAAAGGTGCGGAAAAACTTGCTCATCTTGAGTGCTGAGTCTAGAGTCAAGATTCTCTCTAAATAGACTCTATTAATTGCGCAGTCAAAGAAGGATTTTATTTTGCATTTAATCATGAATCGTTTTGTTCTAAGAAAGCAAGTGAACAGAATGAGTGGGAACCTGCCTAGTCTTTGAAAAGAAAATACTTTTCAGCCTAGTGACGCCAGTTCCTTTGCTGGTTTCCTGAACTACACTGAGCTTTTTTGCCTCCAAAGCCTTATGCAAGACCAAGATACATGAAACTGTTACCCTCGTGACTGGTTTTTACACCCACCCCGAAGAGAAGCAGTTGTGGAGAGGATGGGAAGACGTCAGTAGAAAGGATTGGTAGGGCTATTTTCCAAACGGTCCTCAGAGTGGTCCTCCTGAAATGAGCTTAGTTCTAAGCAAAACAACTGTTTACCAAACTGTGGGTTCAATAAAGCAGTGAGGCAAAAATCTATCCAAGGCTGCTAACCATGAAACTGCAAATCCCGTCGTAGGAAGTGCCTGAGCTGCGCCTGACTGGAAGCTGGGAAGGGGTCTTTATTCACGGACTGGTTTTATGCTCTTCTCTAGACAGCTGCCATTGCATGATGGCATAGGAAGCTAAACAGACTCTTTTTCTGTTTATAGCAATTTTTAGAGTCTGCCCCTGTGCTTGTACTGGAGAACTGGAGTGCAGTATTGACCCAGAGCTTCCTCAGCTGCCCCACACATGCTTTTTCCTAGTGGCAGGAATGACCCTCGTGGCTCAGCTCTGCCTAAGTTCATTGCTGTCTAGGGCCAGGGGCTCTTCATTGCGTGGTCACTCCCTAGCTGTTAAGTCAAAACAAATTCATTTGGTGGAGCCTTAGTACTAAGCTGTTTAAAGGAACCCAGCTTGTTTGTAGTGGAGGGATTAAGGGAGGCGTTTGCTGGTGCAAGCAGAGGAGCAGATCTGTGGAGGGAGGAAGTGTTCGTAAGGCCATGTTGCCTCTGCTAGAAGAGAGTGCATGAACACATTTCTATAGTACTCAGAGCCTTCAGGATTTTCCTCCTGCCATAGTATAAAAAACAGCCTTTTCATTTATTTCTTCAGGCCTTTTAGCCAGCTTGCTCTCTTGCAAAACACCTAAAAATACATGTGCTTGTTTTCCATGTTGAAAATAAAAGAGGAGGTGCTTTTTGAGACAAATCTACAGAAAGTTTTCTCTGGATTCCAGAATTTCTAACAATTTTCATTATTACTATTTTCTCTGTAAATATTACTGTCCTGAGTTTGCAGATCCTGGGCGCTGTGCAGATACTGAGGGCACACACAGAAAAGATTCAGCTTCATACCAGTTGCTGGGGTGCGACTGTAGGAGGAATTGGAGGATTGAGATTCAGTCAGCCGTTTTGGTTTAGACATGTACAAACATGCAGTGAGAAGGAAGTCGCTTGTGTTTCATTAATTTTGACTACAACATTGCTAAGTCTTATTCCCTTTCTTTGTTTTGGAGAGGAAAAAGTCTCCTGGGTCCTCATCTCTCCTTCAGACAGTCACATTTTCTAATCCAGTTCAGAAACTAATTAGGTTCAATTTTAAAGCAAATTCTCTTTCCTGACGGCCCCCCACACACTAGTTAAGGCTGCGTGGCCTGCTGCTTTCTTACCATGGATAATAAAATACCCAGACAACCACAGGCTTATTCTGAGGTGACCTTTGGGAGACAGCCCCAAAAGTCTGAACTCAAGTAGAGTTTATTTTGGGGTATTTTTTGTTTGTTTTTTGGAGGGGTTTTTTTTCTTTTTTTTTACTTGTTCTTACTTAATAACACACCAGATGCCACACTGCTGGTCTGTAGGTCGGTAAATGAGCTGGTAACAGCTGAAGGTTCCCATCCCACTACCCTCTTTTCATACAGAATGGTGAACTAAAGCCTCAGGCTGCAATGAGCTTGTAACACCCAAGTTTAAAGAGCTGCTCTGAACAGAAAAACCCTTCCTACAAGATGGTAGAATGTAAAGCTGCAATGGASTGTAAAGCAAACAAACATCAGTAATGGGCGTTAATCCATTATTACAGAAAGAGATAGAGCCGCYATTTGTGATCTACTCTCAACTTACTGTGTGTCTGTTGATGAGTTTGGGATTCTCAGTGATGTCACATCACCCTACCCTAGGGACAAGATGGAAGTTTTTGTGATACCCGGTCGCCTCGAGCGCAGCTCCGCGTTTTCAGTTGCCCTGCAGTGCCGCAAACCCCATCTCAGCAGCAGCACCAACATCATTTGGTCCTGCTTTGATTCCAGTGGCCCAGGCRTTACAGAGTGGGGGAAAGGAAGCTCTTCCTTGGCACCTCCAGTGGGAGCCCTCATGCCTGAGCCGCAGCCCAGGTTGCTCTTTTACCACCTATCGAAGGCGAACGAGGAAGCCAAACTCCTTGTTCCAAGCCTTGATCCAGCTCCAAAGGCTGTATCCGAGACACCAATTATGGATTGCTTGTAGGGACACGGCCTGAAGAAGAGAAGGCTGAGGGGGGACCTGATCAGTGTGTATAAATACCTCAAGGAARGAGTGAGGAGCATGGGGCYGGCCTCTTTTCAGTGGCAGCCAGCTTTAGGAGTAGATGAAACAGCCACAAACTGAAGCACCAAAGGTTCCACA